GTAGTGACAATAATGAAAATAGAAAAGAAAGAAATATAATCTTATAAGACACTTGAATTGGTTATTTGTTCTGGACTGATAAATATCGCCCGAGATGTTGTTGTGTTTTGAAGAATCCATGATGGGTGACTGATGCCCCTGGTGGTATCTACAGGCCGTGCCCAGGACTACCGACTTTTTGTGATGCCTGACAGTGCCATCAGTGCAAGGGCCACTTGAGAGGGCGTTATTTTTTTTTACAGTAGGTGCCAGCCCCCTTGAGCCATACAAACGAGGGGAGGTGCCAGAGACAAGAACCTCAACACACTGCCTCACATGGACACACACCAACAAGTGGTTTGTAACGGGAGGCTGCAGCTGTCTTTCCTGCAGGTGGTGGTGGTGGTGGTAGTGATTGTTGGTGGTGGTGATTGGTGGTAGATGTAATTATTGTTAGATGGTGGTGGTGGTAGTGATTGTTGGTGGTGGTGATTGGTGGTAGATGTAATTATTGTTAGATGGTGGTGGTGGTAGTGATTGTTGGTGGTGGTGATTGGTGGTGATTGGTGGTAGATGTAATTATTGTTAGATGGTGGTGGTGGTAGTGATTGTTGTTGGTGGTGATTGGTGGTAGATGTAATTATTGTTAGATGGTGGTGGTGGTGGTGATTGTTGTCGTTCATGGGTGTAGATAGGTAATTCTCATAAGGGATGTTTATCTTATCCTAGGGTCGTTAAGGTGATGTTGTGATGAAGTTTCTTAGTGTGATGTCATTAAGGTAATATTTAGAGATATTATAAGTATCCTACGTTGCAGAGGTCCCGAAAATATTGCAAAGTTGTTGAAAATTATTGTAATTTGATTCAGATAATTTTGGAGACCTTCATAGCTCCCTACATTGCAAAGAATCAGTAAATGTTGCAAAGTTGATGAAAATTATGGATGTTGCATTAATATGGTAATTTTTTGAGGATATTTTGAAAGGAGAGAGAGTAGGAAGGAAGGAGAGAAAGTAGAGAAGGAAGGAATGGGGAGTAGGAAGGAAGGAGAGAAAGTAGAGAAGAGGAAGGAGAGAGTAGGAAGGAAGGAGTAGAAGGAAGGAGAGAGTAGGAAGGAAGGAGAAAGTAGAAGGAAGAGTAGGAAGGAAGGAGAAAGTAGAGAAGGAAGGAGAAAGTAGAGAAGGAAGGAGAGAGTGGGAAGGAAGGAGAAAGTGAGAGAAAGGAGAAGTAGGAAGGAGAAAATGAAGAGAGGAGAAAGTAGAGAAGGAAGGAGAGGTAGGAAGGAGAAAGTGAGAAGGAAGGAGAGAAAGTAGAGAAGGAAGGAGAGAGAAAGTAGGAAGGAAGGAAAGTGAGAAAGAAAGGAGGAAGGAGAAAGAAAGGAGAGAAGGAAGGAAAGAAAGAAGAAGAAAAGGAAAGAAAATAGAAGAGAAAATGAGAAAAGGAAGGAAAGAAAATGAAGGAAGCAGATAGAGTAGGAAAGGAATGAGACGGAAACATTACATTGAGGAAAATATTTCGATGGATTCACCTGTCAGATCCAATGTTGCATCTCAGTAATCATATATATCCCAATGTTAAAAAATTACCGAAATATATATTTTCTCTAATACTCCTCAAAAATTATATTATCTCGTATCTATGAGTCAACAAGACAAAATATATATATATAAAAGCCCATCTGTTTTACACACACACCCTGAGACAATTTTTATTCTCTCAGATGTTAAAAAAATATATAATAATATTTGTTTTCACTTTTTTCACGTAGAGAGAGAATTTTATTTCGCTCTATGAATAATAACAAAACACCATCATACGACTATTCCATTATTCAGTAAGGTTAATATATCATCCGGGGGGGTTTCTGTGGGATTTCTGGGGTTTATTGGAGGTTTCTGTGGGATTTCTGGGGTTTTCTGGAGGTTTCTGTGGGATTTCTGGGGTTTTCTGGAGGTTTCTGTGGGTTCTGGGGTTTCTGATTTCTGTGTGGATTTCTGGGGTTTTCTGGGGTTTCTGTATGGTTCTGGGGTTCTGGAGGTTTCTGTGGGGTTCTGGGCAATGGGTTTTGTAGGATTTCTGGGGTTTATTGGGTTTCTTTGGGATTTCTGGGGTTTTCTGGGGTTCTGTGGGATTTCTGGGGTTTTCTGGAGGTTTCTGTGGGATTTCTGGGGTTTTCTGGAGGTTTCTGTGGTTCTGGGGTTTCTGGGTTTCTGTGGAATTTATGGGGTTTTCTGGAGGTTTCTGTGGGATTTCTGGGGTTCTTCGGGATTTAGGGGAGTTTCTGGGGATTTCTGAGAGTTCCTAGGTGGAGTTTCTGAAGGTTTCTGGAGGATTCTGGGGGTTTCATATGGAAGTTAGAGGTTACCGGGGGATTTACAGGTTTCCGGGGGATTTACGGGTTTCTGGGGGGTTTCTGGGGGCTTACCGAGGTGTAGTTGGAGGTAAAGAACAGCAGAAATAACTATCGAATTAGTATTTATCATATTAATAGGTATGGTACCGTCCATCTTAAACCATCGTCGTCAAAGGGTTAAATCACCGTCGTCAAAGGGTTAAATCATCGTCGTCAAAGGGTTAAATCATCGTTCTCAAAGGGTTAAATCATCGTTCTCAAAGGGTTAAATCACCGTCGTCAAAGGGTTAAGTCATCATCATCATCAAGGGTTAAATCACCGTCGTCAAAGGGTTAATCATAGTCGTCAAAGGGTTAAATCACCGTCGTCAAAGGGTTAAATCATAGTCGTCAAAGGGTTAAATCATCGTCGTCAAAGGGTTAAGTCATCATCATCATCATCATCATCAAAGGGTCAAATCACCGTCGTCAAAGGGTTAAATTATCGTTCTCAACAGGGTTAAATCACCGTCGTCAAAGGGTTAAATCATCGTTCTCAACAGGGTTAAATCACCGTCGTCAAAGGGTTAATCAAAGGGCTAAATCATCAATAAATAACACCATAATATCAACACCAGCTGTACATCAATAAAGAACAGCCATTACATCAATAACAAACTAACATTACTCTTAAATTTCTACAACATCAATACACAAACCACATCAATGACTCGTAAACGTAATATCACCTTCAGAGTGTCATGAGATTCCCCGCCAAGTTACCTGTACTGATGTGTAAACAAACTTCTCATTAACAGGTGAGCAGCCACCCACCTTATCAACCACCTACCTACTACACAGCGTGGGAGTAGAATGTATAAATTAAACACACGTACACCTACTACCTATCATAGAACACCTAGTGACAGTACAGGCAGAAAGCGAGCAAAGTTGAGTCTGGCGTAAGGTGGAAGGTATCGCCAGGCGTTCTGATCGCTTGTCCTACCGTGTTAAAAGCCTTCCATCTCAGTTTTCATGTCTTGTTGAGATCTCTTAAGCCTACCGCAGTAAAAAATACATAATAATAATAATAATAACTTAGTCTGCATTAATGTTTTTTTAATTATCAAAGAAATGGTGATAAATGAGACGAGGAAGATATCGAAGAAAACGACGGCAGGGAGGGAGTGACTTATGTATTCTAATTAACCTGATTAAAGTTAAACACTCCAATGCTAACTGTGGTGATTAGGTTAGGTTAGTTTAGTGTTAGGTTTGGTTAGATTTCATTAAGTATTAAGTTAGGTTACATTAGATTAGCGTTAGATCAAGTAAGGTTAGGTTAGGTTGGCGTTAGGTTAGGTTAGCAATAGGTTAGGTTAGCGTTAGGTTAGGTTAGGATTAGCGTTAGGTTAGGTTAGCGTGAGCGTTAGGGTAGTTAATCTTAGAATGGGAAAAAAGCTTGGGTGTCTAATCTTCAGGTGATCCGAGGGACTGATTCACCATATTTAGGTCTTGTTAATAAAATAAGTAGCAGTTGTGTTGTAATAGCGTGTCGAGTCTCTTACCAACAGTGTTAATTCACGCTTGTTAATCTTGTTAATATGATAAGCTTAGGTCGTGTTGCGTTGTGAGGAGTACAGAGAGTTGCTACTGAGGGGAATGGTGTCAACTTCTTGGTATTAGCAGTGTATGTGTGTGTGTGTGTGTGTGTGTGTGTGTGTGTGTTTGTAATAATAAGATAATAACAAACACTAATCAACCTTACATCTCTCCTTCCCTCCTTTTTTCCTTCCTTTCATCTATCTCTCTTATCTCCTTACCTCACATCCTCCCTCCTTCCTTACCTCCCTTCCTACCACTTTCCATCTTATCCTCAATCTTACCCCCATTCCCACCTCTCCCAACCACCCATTCCTCCGTCTCTTCCTACCTACCTCCCATTCAAACCTTCTCTCCCTCCCTTTTATCTCTCTCCCTTCTCTCCCTCCCTTTTATCTCTCTCCCTTCTCTCCCTCAAACTGCTCAGCACCTAAGCCTCGGTGGGTGGGTCTTGTCGCATCTGTTGTCGCTTCACTTTTAATAATCAACATCTGATTGAAAAAAAAAAAGTGTCAGATTTTCATTTTGTTGACGACATAACTCCAAGTGTTCATCAAACTTGTTCACTATACTACATACAGAGACAGTTGGTGGTCATTAGTTACGAGCTATTGAGTAGTTTTGTCAGGGTATTTTAGATGGGATATTGATCTTGTAATATTGATGTTTTTTGTGGATGGTAGATTTTTCTAAAGGGTAATAGAGGTTTGCTATTATTATTATTATTATTATTATTATTATTATTATTATTATTATTATTATTATTGCTGACAAATCATTAATAAAAAAGATAAAAGTAAAACATTGACAAAAAGTAGAATAAAGGAAACGAAAATTAGAAGAAAAAATAGTAAGCACAAAAAAATATTGACTTAGAAGGAAGAAAAATAAAGAATAAATTAAAAAAATATATATTAATAAAGAAATAAACCGAGAAAATAACCAATTTAATCTACCATAGTCATCCATCAAAAAGAAAACGAGAAGAATATACATCAGACGGGGTAACTGATGACAAAAATCCCAATGTAAATATTTAAATGACCCCTGACCTTTGATCTTGAATAATGAACTGAACCCTGACCTT